CTTTGTATCACTTTTCAATTAACATGTAGTGTATATGGCTGAGTTTAGGCTAGTTAGTTGGTCCAAATAATCTATAAATAGTTGACTTTGTACTTGCTCTTGCGTGAGCTGCAATTTCAAAAAAATATGAGCAAAAGTCAAACAAAAAAACGTTTCGTTTTTTGGACGTTTTGAGTATATTTTTGAAAAACTGCAGATACCTTAAAAAGCAATCGGAACACTCGGGGCTTTGCCCTGATGCAAGCAGCCCTGTTTTTTTAATTTCACGTCAATCTAATGAAAAGCTATAAACACGAATCGCAGATTTCCAAAAATAGAAATTTCTATCTACAATTTGTGAAATTACCAGATCCGCCCTCGTAGCAAAAAGTGACAAGAAACTTCCTTACTTGCTCGCATGGTTGAGCCCAATTATTACTAGTGCCATCATTTGATTTCCGAAATTGATCAAAAACGACAGCTTCCCAAAGAGGTGTGGTCAAAATGCTGGACTGAATTTCACCCATCGTCACGTTATATTACTGCTTCCTCAGATATTTGTGTTTAAAGTTAACACATAAGGGTGTAGTTTATATTTGAATTTCGGTCCAAATTGTCGACATGTTTCGACCTGGTGGCTTCAATTAGGGTGCAAAATGGAATCCAGTGAACCGAATAATGCGACCAAACTGGAAAGGTCTCCAATTAGAGCTAAATGGAGCAGAATAACCCACCCGACGGGGAAGTTTACTCTCGAGGGAAATCGGAGGCAAATTAGACTTGAATTGTAAAATCAAATGGAATTGGGGCAGAAAAATTGAGTCAAACACGCCAAAATGACTTCCAGTTTGTTGCATTCTGCGTCACTTGATTGCGATCAGAATCAGGTCAGGATAAATTAACTTACAAAAGAAGATCTCACTTGTATTTCGATCACGCATCGACCGCAAGTTCTAGCCTTTGAAGCACAAATCAGTTTGACATAATTAAGTTTGCAAATGTTATTTTTTATAAAGGGGCAAAGCCAACTTTCGCAACACTTGCGATGCAAAAAATATATTGCGCTAGAAGATATTGAAGGGAAAAGGACAGAAGTCATAAAGAATTCTGAAAAATTAGGTTAAAAGTTTACTTGAAAAAATTACTTTTAAAATTACAGCTACAAAAACTTCATGTTTGAATCCAATGAAGTTCAGAAACAACCTTTAAAAAATTGGAAACAATTTACCGTGCGGCAACAAAGGGGACACACTTTGTGTCGAAACATGTTCAGCCGAAAACAAAACTTGTCATAAAAAATTTCATAATTTTTAAAAAATTTTACTATCCATCCAAACTGAAACTCATAATTGCATACAGATCTATTTTGCCCTCAAAATTATGCAATTTAAGCTGATCAAGTCGTTACAAACATAAACTGAAACTGTTTAATAAAAAAAAAACAAGAAACAAGAGAAAAAAATCAAAAAAAAACTTGCTAAATTTACAAGTTTGTGAATTTTCAGTAATGGTAAAAAACTGTTTAAATTGAAAAAAACCATGCTCTAGAAAAGTGAATCAAAAAAACACTATCACATAAAAATGGTGGCCTCTCAAAAAATCGGAATATGAACCGACAGAAACTGGGACAAAAATCACGAAGCCTAAAAAAATTAGAACGTTTTTGAAAAGACTATTACAATCTGTTAATATTACTATTACGGGCCTTAACTAATTACTACTGAAATGGTTCCAACCCGACTAACTATAGACCCGACTAATTATAGACCGACCCGACTACTGAAATGGTTGCAACCCGACTGATTGTAGACCCGACTAATTATAGACCAAGGTTCCAACCCGACTAAATATAGATCGATTAGACTTCTAAGTTCAAAATCAAAATATTTAAAAATAATTTTCGTAGAAACGGTCAGTGTCGCTCATGATACAATTTAACATTGTTAGACCCAAATTAGACCAAAAATTGAACGCCTTCCTCTGAAACAGCGTGAAATTAAAGCACACAACAAAGCGCACAACAAATACAACTTGATGGCGATTACAAACAATTTTTAATTGAAAAGTTTTCTCAAAAAGAAAAACACTTAGTTAAAAGCAAACAAGACTGCTCGTATCAGGGCGAAGCCCTGAATGTTCCGACTGCCTATTAAGGTTTATGGAGAAGTAATAACGTTAAAAAATTAAAAGTAATAAAACAAAATAAAAATTTTTTTCTTCTAAAATTTGAAATTTTTTATGAAAATCATCCCCCCACACGGCATATAAAGTACAAAAAGATAGGTTTCGCTACTTGTAACAAATCAGTTATGGCAAATGAGCTTCGTTAAACCAATTTGGAACGATTTCTAAGACGGATTAACTCTCCGCTTACGCGTTAATAGCGCCAAATATATCGCGCGTTAAGTGTCCCAAATTGGCCAAAATGGCAATCTTTAAACCCCCATAACTTTACGAAAAATGATCACAGCCAAAATATCTTTTCAAATTCGAGCTCAGGACAACAATACCTTTTGAATGATATAAAAAACCTCCGTCAAAATGGCTAGTTAAAAAGTCGAAATTTGTCTGAAGAAAAAAAAACACACCCCGAGCACAAATATTCCGTTACTTTCGTATCGAAAGTCGGAACAAAAACAGCTAAAACGAAGTTGATCTAGCATTGTCATATGGTGGGAACAATAAACTAATTGAAATTGACTTCCCAGTTTCGCAAAAATCACAAGGAAGTCCGTTGACCTGGAAAGCTTTGTAGAAATGCGTATTCAATCATCTAAAAAGTATTCAATACATTTAATAAGATACATTTGAAAAAACTTCATCGCTACGGATGTCAGGGAAAGTGTAGCAAAACTCTAGCAAACTATCTAGATGATTGCACACAAAATGTTGGGCACTGGAAATAAATTTCAATCATTGAATCAATCCAATTTGGTGCGTAACTGATCCTAGCAGTTATTCAAAAAAATTCAATTCCCTCGACCCCATAATGCTATTCGCAATTATGATAATCAGCCTGAAAAATATATCAAAAATTACCTTCATTGGCTCAGTAAAGATGAAGGTAATGAAGCATAGAAACCATTCAAAAAACTACAATTGAACTTTGATTTGAAACTTGAGATCTTAAATGTTCTTTTATGCGCGCAAAGACCTTTTAAATATCGAAACATTTGTTATTTATAGTTTCATATATGTTATTGCAACTGATAATTAATTTTGTATATGATTTATTGTAGGCTGGCAGTTTTTTATTAGAAATTTGTAATGCTGTATTTATGTTATTACATTTCGTCTTTTTTCGCTCACCAGGAAACGAACAAAAAACAACAAAAATTTGCACAAAAAAATTGTTTTTATTGTTCTATTGATGTGGTCGGAACTTTCTGTTCCGCTTACGCAGAAACTGGATATTCTTGCTAAAAAGTGAACTTCAGAAGTCATAACTTAGGTTAATTGAGTAATAGAAGCACAATTTTTCACTCAGTTTAAAAATGTTGACGTGATGTGAGCAAAAGCATAGAAACCATTCAAAAAACTACTATGTCGAGTGCATATTTTCATAGTAATTCTGAAAGTGTCATTCAAAAACTAATTGAGTCTCGGTAAAATTACTTTTCCAACTCATTAGATTGGAGATCAAATTTCACTGTGACTTAAAACTTCCTGCTTAAAAAGCAAAAGAATCCGGTACTAAATCTGAAAAAAAAACAGGTTATAAATTGAATATAATAAAAATTTCTATCAGCTCGTTAGATATGCGAATAACAGAAATGGCCAAATAAAAAGCTAAAAATAGAAATAGAACAAAAAAAACAGAAATAGCCGAATAAACTACCATCATTTTAGTTTGTAATATCTTACATAATTATACTGAATTATATTAATATTCTTCGATAAGTCATCTCGGCTTTTTGCCATTATAGCCCAAACCCACTAACAAAAAAAGAAGTCCAGCATTCTTCTTCGTCAGCGGTCAACCACGCTTCTTGATCAGTGATTTTTATTTTTAATGATGTTCCCATAATCTACTGGACAACTATTTTGAAAAACAACAAACATCTCCCAATTTAAAGACAGTGGAAAAACATTGTGAGATACTAAATCTAAACCAAATTTAAGATTTTATTTGCAAATCTGAAACAATTTGTGAAAGTAACTGAAACAAAAGTCTTTTCAAACGTGTGACATGACATCAATTTATTGGCATGTATTTGAAAGTAGGAAAGTTAACATCTTAAAGATGTCGTGACACAAGTTGCAAAACATCGAATTGTTTAAAACCAACAAAAAACGGAAATCTAGATTTGGTCAAAAACTCATTTAAAAGCCAGTAGTTTTCATTGAATGTTGAATTCTTTTGATACTTTGATGTTTTGGATTATTTTGTAAATATTTAGGGAAAAAACTCACTGAAATGTCTCAGTGAAACACAATCTTAAACAATACTGATCGTATCAGGTCAAAGTGCTGAATATTCTGACTGCCTTTCAGGGTTTTGGTGATAGCTTTTGGTGGACCAAAAAGATAAAATTTCAATGAAAAAAAATTTTTTGAATTTTTTTTAAAACTAATTTAAATTTAAAAGCAGTTTAATCGATAGCTATTCAAACCTATTAAATTTCAATCTTTAAATTTGTCACGGGGATTTCCAAAAGTATTAATGAAATCAGTTTTATATTATATACAGTATCGACAATAGTGCTTAAAACCTAAAAAATAAAACTAAGATCGACAAAACTTTCAAAATTTTTCCAAAAACCTTCCCTCCTCCCCTAGAAAAATTTCTGCGCACGCCACCAATTAGCGATGACAGTTTTATATTTTTATTCAAAAGTTATGACTTTAGTATGTATTTTTGACCTCATCATCATAAGGTCACTCATACATGAAAGAAAAGTTCATTATTTCTAAAAGATATTATTTCCAAAATAGAAAGCGCTAGCAAATAATTGCACAAAATCTTGAACAACTTGGCAAAATAAGTTCGGTTTATTAATAAGAGATAAAAGGACGATTACTGCAGTAGAGCACCAAATCTTAATTTACTTATCAACTGCAAACAAAGATTAACCAGTAGAAATAAGGGCGCATTACCATTTGTATCTCAATCCCACGAGCCTGTAATAAAATTTAATCGCACGAAGCTCGCATTTTCCCAGAGTTCGAAACAAATCGATAAGTAAAAAAAAAACATAAATTATGGCTTTACAATAATTAGAAACTCAAAAGTAATTAAATTGCCTAAAATTACGTATCAGTCTGCGATATTTTTTGATAACTCATGATCATTTTTTTTTCAAAAAAATGTTTGACTTTGCTTTTGTTAATGCAATAATTGTTATTTTGGCTGAAATCTTAGACACTAACAGAGCCTATGCCGCACCAAGTCAATTCGGCTACTCGCTAAAAGCAGCCAACGAACCAAAATACTATATGCGAAAAGCATTCATGCGTGAAAACATTATTCGTGGTAGACTGAGTCATCGAGCAGTTGCGGTAGACGAAGTGTTCCGAGAGCCGATGGACGCAGTGGCCGAAATATACGACTCAAATGGATACGACTACTCGGAATCTGAAGGGAGAAAGTCGTTAGAAATAGTGCTCGGATTTGAATCCGAATGCAAGTTACGAGAAACTGTTTTAGAGCTGCAATATACTGGTTAGCTTGAATAATATGCACAAAGCAGACCAGCTAATTTTCCCTGACAAAGTTCGATTTTTCATTTTCAAAGATTCACTGGAAAAGTTTGGAGAAAATTATAACGAAAACAAAAAATTTAAGCTCAACAAATTGCAAGCTATGAACAATCTGCACTCAGTATAGAAACCTAAAATCTTATCAGGCATAATTTCGCAGCTACTTAGAACCCCCCCCCCCCCCCCCCCTATGGTATCTACTTCATAAGTGCCACCCCTATAAATAAAAGCATTAGCACGAGAGCGTTCTATTTACAATTCAAATTTTGCTGCTTTCTGATTGGTCGAAAATTCGACTAACAAAATCTATTCAACACTTGCCCCCCTTTCTTCAGAGGGGGGTAATTGGTCAGTAGATTCACATTTTCTATAGCAAATCAATAACTCTTATGAGCCGCTTTGCTTTATTCATCGATAAAGATTAGCCAGCAATTACGAACCAATGCTTGAAAAAAGATTATGCAAATTATGTCAACAAAAAAATATTTATTAGACTAAAATGCAGTCCTGAAACGTTTGATCTTTACCTCGATCCATTCAAAAACCAATTTAAAGTCTATGGCTATAGCTGGATTTACTTAACAATATCTCCCCTTCAAAAAAGGGGGGAGATTGTTAGGGAGACTAAAATAATCGAATATTCGACCAACCAGAACGCAGCAATATTATAACTTTCAAAAGAAAGCACTAGTGCTGATTTACTGATTTTATTTAGAGAGGTGGCAATTTTTTAGTAGATACCATAGGGGGGATTATTAAGTAGATCCCAATAGCTTAGCGTGCATAGGTCATTTTTGATTACATGTTTTGAAAAAATGAAACGTTTTCAGAGAATCTTCTTGAAACGGAGCCGAAGACAGCCACGATAGTGGAGTGCATAGGGTCCTGTTATGAGGGGGGCTGTGTGTGCAGTGAAACAAGTGGGGGGCAGGACTTCCTAGTTGAGGTGACAGTTTGGAACTACACTCAATCAGAGGCTTACGAAGACAAATACATCAAACTTCACAATGCCACTCAGTGTCAATGTGTAGAGGTGCTTGATAGAAAGTAGAATTACAAATTAAAAGTAGAAGAATAAATAAAGATAGAATCACTCTGAGTACTGATAACTCTATGTAAATTTTTGTAATCAAAATAATAGGTTGTTTCTAAGTGAGGTCATTACAGAAGAAAAAAAATAAGGAATTCTTTTGCAAAAATATAACTTGAGAGAGCACCATAAAACTATAGTCACTTGGAAAGAGTTTATCATGATTATTATAACAAATTACAATTGGGAAGCTCAAAAAACTCAACGAACTTTATCTAATATGTATTTTTTTCTACCACAAACAGAAAAAACACAGTAAAAGGACTTGTTTGATAATTTCGCCTTCAATTGCATGAAAACATAAATAGAAGAGGTTGGATTTTTAGTTTATTTCTCCTATAGAACTTATTATTCTCAAATAAGTGTAAAAAAAAATATTTTTCACCTACATAGCCTTCATACGCAGTCATATCTAAACGCGATCAAGTTTAAGTCCATCGAAAAACTGAATTGAAACTTTTATGTTAGTCGAATTTCATAGGTACTTTCTTCTAATTCCACTTAAAAATGTTGTGTTCCTTATTCATTAAAAATATCATAATTTAATTGCTCCGATTTTTGAAGAACGCGGAGAAATATTTATGCTCCCCGTGGTTTTTCCTTCACACAAAATATGACTAATTAAGCAGCCTTCCTTTACAGCAATTTAATTATCATCGGAGGTACATCAAGGCCCTGAGCTCAAAACTATATTTTATTAGCAATCACTTTCCGTCGAAGTTTGAAAAATACCCATTAGACCAAATTGCGATAATTAACGCGCGATATGCGACATAAGTCGGGCTCTTAACGCGTAAGGTACGAGAAAATTCGGCTCAGAAATGGTTTCATATTGCAAAGCAAATAAGGCAAACTACTTGGCCTTAAAGTTAGACCGACAAATGTGAAAAATTAAAATCTTTATATTGCGCGTGGCGGATAACTTTTAAATCAAAATCTAAAAATTGCTCAAAATTTTTTTTTCATTTTTGACCAATTCTTGAATCGAAAAATTGCTTGAAAAAAAGCAAAGAAATAACACCTTTTTTTCGAGAATGTGAACTTAAAATTGAAAGATGATATGATTTCAAATCGCGCAAAATCAACTTAAAAAATTCAGACACCTTTCTCATGCAGATAATTTCTTAAATAGTATCTCACTTGAAACATTTGGCAACAAGCCAAACTGAAAAAACAACAAGCCACAATGCAAATTTCAATAAAAAAAGATTGTCTGAAACTGCAAATGATCTGGAAGCAGAAAAACACTGCCTGAAATTAATAAATTTTTGACAAAATGGTGTTTTTTAAAAAACGTTTTGGTTCAAACTACATCAACATTTTGCTTTTGAACTGCTATTCAGCACTGGTAATTACCGAATAGAACTTGATAGCCAAAAAATATATACTTTTTTGATTGCAGCTAACTTGAAATGAATCAGAAAACTGCTCTAAGGAAAAACTGCCAAACTCTAAAGAAATTGAACGTTAATTTACGCCCCGATGAAAAAAAATCAATTAAAAACACTAATAAAATAGTGACAAAAACAAAAAATGAACTTTGTCGTTTATTTTTATCCCCCAGATTGCAAACACTGGAAATGATCTGGAAGCTGAATAAAATTGCCTGAAATTATTAAATTTGTGACAAAGTGGTGTTTTTTGAAAAACATTTTGGTTCTAACTACATCTACTTTTTGCTTTTGAAATGCTATTCAGCATTTGTAATTACCCATTAGAACTTCATAGCTAACCAATCGAACCTGATAAAATATATGACAAGAAAAACAAAAAAAATGAACCATATTTTTTATTTCTATCCCCCACATTGCAAACACTAGCAACAACACGAAAATAAGCAGCTCTATAAAGTGCAATAAGAAAAGTAGAAAAAGGCCTGGAATTAGCAAAAACTCGGCCACGTCTGAGACTCGAACTAGCGACCTAGAGACTAAGAGTCTCACACACTAACCACTCAGGCGTGAAAATTTAATAGATACCAAACACTAGCCACGATTAAAGCAGAGAACAGATGCTATGCAATTTCCAACGCTACCGAAATTTCTAACTAAATGAACACTTTTATTTGCGAGCTAGGTTTAAAAAAAGAAGGTTCGTAATAACACACTAAAGTGATCGCTAGTGTAAAAAAAAACGAGATTTAATCATGATCAACACCGGTCTACAAATTTAGTATTTGCCTATGAGAATGGTATGTCCAGGATGGTAAAATTTTTATTATTGATGTTTTAGCGGAATTTTTACTAACTCAAGGAAATCTCGCAAAATTTAAATTCCAAAGAAAAATTATTTAGATTACAAAGAAAAATTGAAAAACTTTTTCTCATTGACAAGTAAAAATGATCTGCACTTTTCCGCTTTAGAGACTACATGACACAAAATTAACTTATTACACGATGAGGAACAAATTAATTCTATAGCAACTCGTAAATTTTCTAATCATTATATAATTTTCGCATTTTCTCTAGCTAATTCAATCGCCTTTTGCTGAAAAAACAAAATAGAAAATGGAAGACAAATTTTCTTTTAAAGTTTTTTTTTAATTTTTACTAGAAAAAGTATGATCGGAACATCGGGCTAATTGCGCAGCAACTGCTAGCTTCGTTTATTCACCAATTTAGTTTATGATGCTATTATTATATTACTTTTTTGTGACTGGACATCTCTGATTGATTAATCGTCTTCTTGTTTCTTTATTTCAAACATGATTGAAAAGACATTGACATGAATCTAATTTCCTGTTTTTGCTATTCAATTTTTTTCGTCCCCCGAGGAATAAAACTGATAACACGGCGAGACTTTCTAGTGACATTTGACTTCAAACTCATGTCAATGATAATTTTTGAAAGAATAACATTATTTAACTTCGACCTTTTTTATTTTTGATTATGAGATGAAGGCAATTATGAGAGAATTAAGACAATAAGTTTAATTTATCTAGTCATTTGTTCAAAATATTTTCGATTTCAAAAAGAGATTTTATTTTGCTCTAATTTCTTGCTATTGAAAAGCCAAAACGGTATTTTTGATCAAAACAGACTGAGTAATTAATATGGAAACTGGAAAACAAGAAGTTGTTATTTCTCTAGCTTTCGCTTTTGTAAAATTTTGGATCTGGAACAATTAAGCGGATGCAGCTAAAATAACACCATAAAATATTCAGAGCCGGTCTTCTTTAATCCCACTGAAGCTTTCCTCCGACTAATTTGGATTCTCGTCTGAAATTTATGCAAGAATTATCATAGAATAATTATCTTATTACTCCATCATTGTATTTTTAACATCATCCATTTTTGCACAATTATTCCTACTGCTGAACGATTGAGTTCTAGGGTCACATGAACAAGTTGTATCACTAACTCATAAAATTTATTAACCCATAGGGTTATTAAAGCTCAAGTTAAATCCCATACTACCCTTAAAGCTTTCTAGTGTCATCAAAAAACCGTTTTGAAAAAAAATGGCAGTCTTTAAAGCTGCATGTGGTCTGTTTACCGTTTTGATCATTTTCCTGCAAGATTGAAAGAGTTTTTTTTCCTCACTAGATTTCGCAACCACTTGTGGTCAAAAACAAAAAATATATTTGAAATGTATTGTTAACCAAAAGCAGCCTAGAATTAATTGTTGAGACATGCCATTGGGAAACCGGCTCTGAAACAGTTGCTTAAATAACACAAAGCTTCGCAATTATTGCAAATTTCCAAGTCAAACCCCTAACGAACAAGACCAATCCAAAATTCGCGGGCATTTTGTTTGAGTTTCTTGCAAAACCATAAATCATAAGCGTATCCACTTGATGTGCAACCAGCTCAGAACTTTGCAACTATAGTTTTGGAATCAAAAATTGAAAAATAAACTTTAGAAAAACCCGATACTTTTTGAATTCTTCTAAAAATCCTGATGTTACTTGACTACTTGTACCAGTTGCAAAAAGGGTTAAGAACATGGCAAAGAAATGGAAAAAATGATATTATTTAAAATAAAGAGCATAATCTACTACTCCATTTAAAAATCCAATTCTGCAGCTTCAGCTGAATATCAGCCTAGATAGCGAACAATTCAGATCATTGTTTTTCAAAACTAATCTAAATTTTTTGAGATCCCAAAACTAGCGTGCACAATTAAAAGAGAGAGAGAGGAACTGCAATCGTAGGTTGCGTTCTTTATCGCGCAGTTTAAGATACCTCAAATTTGAAAAAAGAATACAGAAAACTACTCATTTTTGTGTTTCAAAGATGACCTCATTACCTAATTCACCTACAAATCTGACCAAAAACTATTCTAGAATTTCCTCGAGAAAATTCTAGAATAGTTTTTGGTCAGATTTGTATGTGATTTAGATAATGAGGTCATCTTAGAAAAACAAAAATGAGTAATTTTCTGTATTCTTTTTTTTTAAATTTTGAGGTATCTTATCCTCCGACTACTATGGATTCTCTTCTAAAATTTATGCATAATAATCAAAGAGTAATTATCTTATTACTCCATCATTGTATTTTTAACATCATCCATTTTTGCACCATTATTCCAACTCCTCAACGAGTGAGTTCTAGGGTCACATGCGCACGTTGTATCACTAACTCATATCACTATCACCCATAGGGTTATTAAAGCTCAATTAAATCGCACAATACCCTTAAAGCTTTCTAGTGTCATCAAAAACACTGTTTTGAGAGAAATTGGCACTTTTTTAAACTGCATGCACTCTGTTTTCCGTTTTGAAGATTCCCATGAAAGATTTAAAGAGCTTTTCTTCTTTGATACATTTCGCAACCACTCGTGGTCAAAAACAAAAAATAAATTTGTAATCTATTGTTAACTAAAAGCAGCCTAGAAATAATTGTTAAGACATGCCATTGGTAAACCTGCTCTGAAACAGTTGCTTAAATAACACAAAGCTTCGCAATTAATGAAATTTCCAAGTCAAACCCCTAGAGAACAAGGCCAATCCGAAATTTGCGTCGTTTTAATTGAGTTTCTTGCAAAACCATAAATGATAAGCGTACCCACTTGCTATGCAAACAGCTCAGAACGTTGCGACCATAGTTTTGGAATCAAAAATTCAAAAAAAAACTCTAAAAAAACTCGATACTTTTTGAATTCTCCCAATTTTCCTGATGCTGCTTGATTACATGTACCAGTTGAAAAAAAGGTTAAGAACATGGCAAAGAAATAGAAAAAGTCAGATTATTTAAAATAAAGAGCATAATCTACCTCTCCATTTAAAAATCCAATTCTGCAGCTTCAGTTGAATATCTGCCTGGATCGCGAAAAATTCAGATCATTGTTTTTCAAAACTAACCTATATTTTTTGAGATCCCAAAACTAGCGTGCACCATTAAAAGAGAGAGAGGAACTGCAATCGTAGGTTGCGTTCTTAATCGCGCAGTTTAAGATACCTCAAATTTGAAAAGAGAATACAGAAATTTACTCATTTTTGTGTTTCAAAGATGACATCATTACCTAATTCGCATACATATCTGACCAAAAACTATTCTAGAATTTTCTCGAGGAATTTCTAGAATAGTTTTTGGTCAGATTTGTATGTGAAATATGTAATGAGGTCATCTTTGAAACACAAAAATGAGTAATTTTCTGTATTCTTTTTTCAAATTTGAGGTATCTTAAACTGCGCGATAAAAAACGCATCCTACGATTGCAGTTCCTCCGTCTCTAACTCATTGCATTTGTGCAAAAGGCGACTTGAAACAACTTTACGAGTAGTTATACACTTTTGAAGTGCCATAAAATAGTACCGAATGTGGTCCCGTTATGTTGTCAGAGTGTATTTGGTTGTATATTGACTGGTTTTTCGATTTCTGACTTATTAAAATAATTTTCACTTTAATTATCTTATTACTTTACTCTGAAAGATTTTGACCTCCCAAGTTGAAACTTTGGAAAGACAACTTTAACTTTAATTTTTCTAACTCCAGAGAACCTAACAAGTCGCAGTTTCAGTACTTTCATTCAAGCCAGACAATTTTACGTTACCTAATTGCGGTAGTTTTGGACCAAGTTTTACTATTTCAATTTCTTATCTAACACGGCCAAGAACGATAAATCATAGAACAAAATTCGAATGCCCCCCTTTAAATAAAGCTAATTTGGCAAAAAAATAGCGCAATTTCCTGGAAAAAAATTGATCCAAAAACAATTCCAAAAGAATGTTGTCACAAAGCTACCAATCATTCAAATTTCGATTCAACCTCATTCCTAGTCCATAAATTGACCCCTTTGCCCATGGTAATTGCAACTGTTAAATCGAAATAAAAATTTGTAATTCCAAAATAAAGACAATTGTCCTAGAATTAAATTTCTAGATAGCCAATTTTTTTAGATACGAGCCACATTTTTTGGTTTCAATAAATTTTTGTATTTTTAAATTTTTTTGAATTTTTCAGTAAATTTTTTGAGTATTTGAAAAGTAGCCAAATAAACTATGAAGCATTTTTGTAAACCGAGGCAAAGTTGTTTCGCAAGACTTGCAATACAACACAAACGTAGCATGGTGAACTAGTTTGCAAAGCACAGCTCGGCATTTTTTTTGAATTTGCCGGCTAGAGGTAACTTCGCTCACATAGGTGTTGAATTTGCTGCTCAATCATGTCATACGAGCCACCTGATTCCTCTGCCAACTCAAAAGCAAGAACAAGATTTTTAGTGCAAGTGCTAGATTATGCTTGGTTTTGAAAAGAACGTTTACAGGGTATATATTTTTTGTAAAACTCTGTGACCAGATCTGCCTAGATGACTGAAAAACAGTTTTTTGAATACCAGAAATCTTTTTTATTCGAATCCAGCACTGGAATTTTTCCAACGGATCTACGAAACCATCCTAAGTTTTTCTGTATGCTGCTCGGACGGCTCTTTTCCAGTCCCCCCCCTTTCAAATTCAATTTTGAAAATTCGTTTTAACGCTGTCATAATGCAATGAAATTTGGCGTGGTGAACAAATCGACAACTGTGAACAAATTTGTTCTTCATACTCTACAGCGTTAAATTTGTTCTTGATTTTTACTTTCTTTTGAGATTATCTTTTTCCTATCTGCAATATCATTACACATTCAGGATTCACTGTGGACTTTTGGTGGGATTTATACATGCTAGTATATCCTTAATACTTCCTTAATATTTCGTAGTTAGGAGTACTACTGAATCGCGTATCAATTTCACCAGTTTGATTTGAACTTTAAAGCTTTTTCCGTTCAACAAAATGTTAAAATCGTTTCACTTGTTCATGTTTGTTTTTTGTTGCGCTATACAACATCAAAATTCATTTTAAGCAGACTTTATTACACCTGAGCTCAGAACCAACTCAAAAAGGGACTGAAAAGCCTGAATATGAAAATACACTTGAGCTCAGAACCAAATCAAGGGGGGGCTGGAAAAAAGTCTGAATATAAATTTCGTTTGAGGTGCAACTGACCTTAGTGCGACTAGGGATACCGAGGGGAGGTAGAGAGTGACCAGGAATATCTGGTACTTCCTCGTCATGTGCAGATTGATGCAGTGCTCTGTGAACAGATCCTCCATATATGGCATGGTGTTGTTGTAGTAGTCCGTCTCGTGTTTGAAGTCGCTGAAGATGAAGTTGGCAGTCTCCTGGGCCGGATACATGCCAGACAACTGTACCGAGTAGATCATCTTCACCAGTCCGTCGTGGTACTTGTACGTCCCTATCCGGATCTGAAATGCGCCAGAAACTCATCATTAGGAATAGTAGTTAAATGGCTTTAGTGCGTCCCCATTGAAACCAAGGGGTTGCTGGTTCGAGCCCAGATAAAATCCGTTATTTTTGTTTGCTTGGAGTTGAGGGTAAATTCCAGCCAAGCGAAAACATCTTTTCAGTATCCAGTTCAGGTAGCCTCAACATAACGCTGCATGTAGAGAAATTAACATCAGATCTGCGAGTACAACTGAACTTGTCGAAGATTGTTGAGACCAAATCACTCAAAATTTCACATAATCAATCAAAAATCAGAATTCCCCATATTTTTTATGGTTTTGTCCTTATCGTAAATGATGTTACGATGACCAAACTTTACTAAACGTCATCTTAACAACATTCTGGAAGAAGGTTGAGAGATATTGTAAGAAGCTCATTTGCTGTACACCAGATAACTGTTCGAGTTCGACTGGCTTGGGTGATTTGGGGAGAGAGGGGGAGGGGGGGTAGTTATTGACTCACGAGACACTTGTGCTGATCGAAGGGGAAATAGCCCATGCTCATTGGACACGAGTGGGCTATTATGAATCGGCTCGAGTAGAAAAGAGTGCCGTCCATGTCGAACCTAACACACACATTATCATTGTAAGCATCGGCCGGAACGATAGAAGTTGCAGAGGCGAGGTAGAAGTCGGGTTTCCAGATGTCGTCCGCGAACTCCCTCCCCATCGTCACTCGGCTGTCGTTGCAGAGCACGTTGCGACACTCGCTGAAGTTGAAGCCGTGGATGTTGCGGTAGATCTTATGCCACGTCGGAATCAGTCTCGTGTCCTTCCAAGACGCCTGAACACAATTCACACTCACAATTTACAACACATGCAAAAAATATGCAAACATGCAATTGCAGTTATCATAACTAATTTTAAAGAAATTTTTCGTTAAAAAACGCCATAGTTGAAAGCAATATCTGGCCAAAGAGCAAAGGGAAAAACGGACTTAAGGACTGTTCCCCTCTTTTGCGCAAAACCATTTTAAATCGCGGCTTTTTTACGCTTATGTGCGACTTATTTCTTTGTTTTTCCATGCTGGGAAAACAGACCAGAACATCAGATAGGAAACTTAATCGACCCAAATGGTCCTTAATCCACCCAGTAACAAAACATATGCCAAGCTTATAGAGTTTTAAAAGTTACCTTAGAATCACTGCAGCACATTAAGATAATTTCAAAATATACACCCAAGTACTGTGTTCTCTGAACTCTAATGACATTCCCGATAGTTTTAACATTAGTTGAACAATAATTGTACCAATAATTCAACAATAACTTTGTACAAATTCCGTTTAATGTTTTCTAATTAGTGAACAAACACAATAAATTTGAAATTATATTGAAAACAATGAAGAAAATTTAACAAAAAAAAAACATTTTTTTTGGGCGAGAAAAATCGCACGCAAATTGTTATTGCAGAGTTACCTGCATCAATTGGAAGAAATAAAATTGCTTGACTATTAGAAAATTGCTGCGCCGATTAATATAAATACGATCGAAGGAGAAAAGCGTTCTCATGAGCTGCTATACCTGTCCAAATGAACCGTCTATCCCGATCAGGGTAGTTTCATCTCAAAATCTAATTTCTTTGCTTGCCAAAATTTACATGCAAAAAAGTGGTTCACTGAAAAACTATAGATTTCCATAAAAACTACAATCAAAACTAAAATGTTCCTTAAATTAAACAAAAACTTCCCTAAATTAAACAAAAATTGTAAGCTAGTTTTCGTCATTTTAACTACCTGTAGAAACACATCGAGGACCATTGTCATATCAATCTCGGAAACAGTTCGGATGGAGTTGGTGAAAACGCCGATCTCCACTTCGTCAGTGATGCCCCCCTCGTTCGGCCTCACTTGTCGGTTGTACTCGGGGTCGGTCCACATGTAACACTCCCCAATATCCCCCCAAGTGCAATAACACACAAGCACCCACAGAATAACAGAGAAAATAGGGGGGCTCATTTTGGAGAAATTGTTACAGCTCCTACCCAAATTGAACATGCTGCTCATTTTCCTCAAAAATTTGTCCTGATTTTCGACAGTGACTCAGTCGAACAACAACTTTAAATTAACTCAATTCAAAATTTTAAGTTCCGCAAAACTTCTAACTTTAACAAGAAGCCAAAAATATGTAAAATTTTTGACAAAGATTGAATATAAATGAATGAAATTAAATTTGAGGTCAATTTTTGAAGGATTTTTACGTCAACAAAAAATGGCCTCTACAACCGGCAAATTCAATTGATTTTTCTGTCAAAAGAAGTCAATTTAGCTTTGACACGAGTCAATTAGCGCCTAAATAAGGTAATTCAATTATTTCCGTGAAGAACGGCCAATTTTTATTGAAGCATCTTGTTTTTTGTTTTATGACAGAATAAAAAGGTCATTATTTTTTATTAAGAGTAGGAGGATTTAAATTTTTCAATCTGAATTTTCATAGGTAAAAAAACTTTGTTTTAAATAAATCTTAAATCTTCACTTTAAAGGAAAAGCTGATTAAATAAAACAAGAATATATTCAAAGCCAATTATAAAGAAGGACAGAAAATTAAATTAAAAATGGTCGTTTTCAAAGCCTTTATCGTAATGGGAACGTGAAGGTCTTGAAAGATGCTTTTAAAGCCGAACATTAAACGCGGTCATTTCATTGTTGCCCATAATAGGCTTTTAGGACTATTTGAAGGGGTTCTATTCTTAAATAGGATAAGAAGATTTCGATAAAGTATTATCTGAAGTATAGCTGACTACAATTTTTGGAGGTTTTGTTCGTAGATGGGCTGGGCTGTCTTGGCTCTGGTATTTTGGAGGAGATTAGAAGCGCCTAGCCAGATGACAAGCGAGGAACAAAAGACCAAATGCTATTAAATTATCAGCTCAATTCAAATCAGCTCAAAGTCGATCGAAATTAGTTGCTTCTCCAGTTTTTTCTAGTTCTCCAGTTATATGCTGCTTTCAAAACGATTGCTTAACTGAACTGGTTAGCTGCGTCTAGTTAGTACACCGTTATTACAATGCGAGTAAAGCGGCAATGAATAACCTAAACAGTAAGGCCGGTGGTAATAATTTTCTTAGAAGTAAAAGAAACAAGCACGAATCGGCGAATAAAGAGAATATCTTTGGGCTGTTAAACAGTTGAATGTCTTTAAAAAACTCAAGTACAATCTCAATAATCTTGGCCGTGGACCAAAGGAATAAGTAATGAATTAAACAGAAGCAGAGGAGAAGAGAAACCAATGCCAGTTGCTCCTGTAATAACTAGTAGCTGCTGTATTCTAGTTGTACCACTGGAATCAACGGCCGAGCAGGACAAGCGATAGAAGAAGTTGGATTGGATAAAATGAAAATGTAGAAAAATGGAAAAGAAGAATTAATCCAAGTAAAAATATTACAACAAACACCCAACGCCAATTTTACAATTACTATGAATCGGGCTAAAGGGGGGACTTGCACTACAACAGTTTGGTTGGGGGGGGGGGGGGGGGGTTTGGATTTCAATTATGCGGGCTAGGCACTTCGGGAATTGAACTTACTCACAGAGACACTGCAGGCCATCAATCGTAAAAGGAACGTGCTAAAATAGTCCGTCGGACGACCCCAGCCTCGGGTGGACATGGCGAGCTGGCAACATGGCACTTTGTTTTCCCATTTCTAACTCTGGCATTCAGTCTGATCACAGAAGGAAGACTAAAAGAGTCTCTTGCTTTTTCACTCTTATATGTGCATATAAGAAGTATATAGCCCCCGTCGCCAACAGTAACACCGGAACCAGCAATTACAATTACAATCGGTTATAAGTTATAAGTTAACCAATCCAACTAATACCAGTGGGAGGTGCAGGCTGGGTATGCTTGGCATTACCTGCATATAACTTACACTTTTCCAGAGCTATCAGCTAATCTGGCAGCTAAGAGCACAGCCGAAGAAGTAACAGTTCTGGACTGCTCGCTTGTTATATAATAAGAGTGGTGTTATTTCTAGTTATTATAACCTCTTCCAACTAGATTGGCTCAATTAGGGAAGAGTAAACGGTGAATTTATTTTGTTTATGGTCCCAACTTAGACAGCAATTGGGGGATTTGAACGGACACAAATGTCACTAACAAGGAGCTCCAAAATAACAAACTAAGAGAAATGGGTCCCTAAAAATCAGTATCCCAAGACAAAATAAAATCGATAAGGAATAATTAGCCCCCACTAGAAGAGTTATGTTTTAGCTCTGGAGAAAACAACTGACAAAAACAGCTACCAATTTAAGCCTGAAAAACAGCCAATCAAAACGGCAAAAAAATCAAGTATAAATAGAAGCAAAACATCGACTTTTAAGCTACAAGAAAAAAAATCAAAAATTCAAACCAGAAAAAACAAGAGTACTCATTGGCTAATATTGTTGGCTGAAAAAAGGGACTGCTGAAATAACAGAAAGCATAATGCTGAAAATTCAGATTTGGCAAAATTGCTTAATTGCTTCAATTTCACCACCTATAGATTGTGCACATGTTACAAGGAAAAGATAAAAAAAAAGGTAGAAAATTCCAAAAGTTTGCGATGCAAAAACGCAAATTATGGCAATGCTCCAAAGAGGGGAAAAATCCGGCAAAACACTGCTGGATATTTGAATTTGAATTCAAAAAATTAATAGAAAAATAAATTCTAAAACAGCAAAATGAAAAATTTAATAGGAAAAGTTGGTTACTCTGCAAAAATTGCACATTACGCGAAAACAAAAAAAAAACGCGAAAAAAAAACATTTTTTCTTCAATTTTCGATAATTTTCAAGAAAGTATTTTTGCGTTTTCTGATAATAAAGAAGAGCGCAAAACGTTGATTTTAGATCCCTATTGCAAGTCTAGTTGCTTGCTATCCAAAACAACAACACCCTAAGTTTTTTTCGGTCTCCGACAAAACGAACACCAATAACGGGTTTAGCAGACTGTTTCCTCGGCTCGTCCGAAAAATTTATTAACTACGAGAGGTGTATCGCTGAGAATAAGTGACAATTTGTTCAATTGTTGGTAGCACGACACCTAATTCGAAAAATTATTTCACAATATCAAAATTTTTTAAAGACCCAATCTCAAGGTCATTCAGCAAGATCGTATGGCACAGTTGCGTCGCCTACTTCTTCTAAAACTTGCTCTTCCACCGAGGTACTAAAAATCAACTGAGTGTTCAATCAGGTGGGTGTCTTCAAGAGAACGGAGTGATATTTTCCCTCTTCGTCGGCAGCGGTGCGGAAACAAATTTTTTTTTGCGTTTTCTTAAAAATCTATCATTACCTTTGAGGGGTTTTGGAAAACTAACCATAAAGCTCTCACCAGCTAAGCTCAAAGGCCAGATGGGGGTAAGTTTTGTAGTTTTGATGAAGTGGTTACGTCTCCGCCTCTCAATCGAAGGTCGGATGTTCGAGGCCCACCATGATCCATTGCTTGCAGGTGAGGCAGCAATAACCAGCCCAGAAAAATAACCAAAAAACTTGCATGCAGTTTTTAAGCATGGGCACAACAGCAATTCGCCATGATGAGCTGGACATCTCGTACATTGATCCTTTCCCTCGAGGATAAATAGTCTTAACCAAGTATACACCTCAGAGCACCATCAAACACTATATAAGAGTAGTTAAACAGCCACGAGAGGCCAGGGACGCTAGTAACCGTTAATTTAAAGGGTGCATTGTTCGGGGGCGAATCAGTCATTTTGTGGCTCAAGAACATGAATTAGTAAAAAACGCCGTTTTAAACGTCACTCTCAGAAATTCGCATAAATTGGGTTAGCAACTTCATAAAAGAGTCAGTAAATAGTTACTATACGAGATAACCGTTCAAAAACAGGAGGCGTTTTTTTCTGAAAAGAAGTCTCTTTTTAGTGAACAGTACTAGCTGGATCTATCTTGTATCGATCATCCCTCAACCACATATAACTCAACTTAAGGGGAAAAAATGCCTAGCTCTTTTTACTCCGTAACAAGGAATCAAAGTCTCAAACAGGCTTCCGTTGTGTTTGGTACTTGCAGGTGGCTACGGCATAAGATTTTTAATCAACTTTTGAACCGGTAGAAGGAATCGTTGATCTTCTGTCAAATTCTCCGAGAGGTTGCAAAACAACAAAAAAATGGTCAAAAGACATCAAACTTTTTAGTTTTCTTAGTTGCCAGTGGCCAATTCTACAATCTGTATCCTTGAGGCAACTTTACTTTGCTGATCGTAGTTGATAACACGCCATTCTGCCAGGTATGATTTTATGACTTTCCTACGTAATTTGATTGGGTTCATCGTTTTCTCTCCCAATTATGACTGAATGTCCAATTTTTTTTCGTAAATGGCTGGCTGGCCAATCGACAATGATCGCAATTTTTACACACAGAAGCGAAGTGGAGCTTCGCATCACTTGCATTACAAAAATGTATGACTATGATTACCAGCAAATAAAAAGACAAATAAAAAAATGAAGGAAAAAAAATCTTTTTTTTTGTGAGTAAAAAAACTATAACACTTGTAAAAGAGGACAAAAAAATCTTGAAACGAAATTAACTGCACCAATTAAAACTTTACAAAGAGCTTTCAAAATGCTAAAAAGAAACCAAACCTTTCTGCAGGACCTGTGCCAACAAAAATTAGCAGGCACAAAAGTCTAGAAAAATTGAAAGTTTTCAGTTGCGCCAAAAAACAGGTCCCGAATGAAACCGAACTTCTGAGGTTTGTCGCCTCAAGCATGTGTGTTACCACTGCACTAAATGCACAGAGCACTCCTTGATTTTATAAAGAAAACGACTTTCAAAGATTTTTAATGAACAGCATGAAAAAAAAATAGGCAAAACTTCTTGGAACTCAATTACTTGCGGAATACACTGAACTGTTTTTGTAATTCGAGTAGAAAATGCCCAAATTTTAAGCAAATTCGGCGCTGCGGTAGGTAAGCCGACAAAAAAATAAGGCATACAGAAGTCAAACAACGATTTTTTGACGCTCGGACAACTTTACGCTCGGACGCTCGGACTTACAAGAAAACATGCCCTGACCGGATTCGAACCATTGAACTTTGTCTTTATAGACAGTTGCGTTACCTCTTCTACATGTTCGAAATAAAGTCTGATTTTGATTTCAAATGAACCAAAGGTAACATGATTCAAGTGATTCTGTTAAACTAGTTGTTAACCCGAAAAAAGTCTTTATTCCGGTTTGATAACGCTTGCTAACGTCTGTAAGAAATCAGAATCTTGACTCAATGAGCAGTTAAAAATGGTAAAGATGACTCATAGAGAGACCTCTAGTCTTGATTGGCCTAAAAGCAAACCATACCATTTTTGTGGTCAATGGAAAAACTTCTAGGAATCTTTAACATGGTTTCAACCAAGATCAAAACAAATTTTTTTTTATCATTTCAGACTCAATAGCAATCGTCTTGATTTAAATAAAACGGACAAAACAATTATAAAAGAAAATTTTCTCAAATTGGGCAAGACTAGACAAAAAACGAAGAGAACAAAATTCGCTTAGAATTTCACCAGAATTAAAATGTTTTTCACAAAATTCGCAACCAAAATTTTACATCAAAAAATATCAAATGAAGCCTCTTACACAGCTCAACAAAGTTCTAGAAGAAAAATCTCCAAAATTTTGCGCCTAAAATGAAATTTGTTTTCAAGCAAAGATTTTGAGTTTTATATAATAAAAATGGCCTTTTTTGGCTATCAAGCAAAAATTTATTCACCTATACAGATTTTTGAAGAATTAAAACAGCTAAAAACTTTGTTGGGCGGTGTAAGAGACTTCTTTTGATGTAAGTTTTTTATCAATTCATTTGGAAGTTCCAGCGCTATTCTGGGTTAACTATAAAAATGCCAAAATGGCTCAATGTGAGGTGAAATTTTGGTTGCAAATTTTGAAAAATGAATTGCATCGTAATAATTCTGGTGAATTTCCTAAGCAAGTTTTCTACTTTTCATGTTTTGTCTAAACATAACCCCAATTTGAGAAAAACACGTTTGAAACTTCAATTTTCATTTTACATTTATAACGATTAATTTTAAAAAATCTAAAATGGTTCGAAATAAAAACACCATATGCGTGAAGATTTCGTTACGTTCTCCAAAAGTCGAAAAATTAATGAAAAAAAAAATTGCAGACTGCAATCAAATAATTTCTCCAAATTTTTCAGAAATTCAATTAACTCAAAGATAGAACTTTAAAATGGAACAAAATTCGAATCTGGATGGCGCAAATTTCAAATTATCAAGGGCAAAAATGTCAAGGGCAAAGTTGAAACAAAAATAGCCAAATGCTGTGCATTAGAGCAAAGAAGGTTCCCATCAAATTTCTATACAGAAGCAAAGTGCCGCTTCGCACCACTTGCGAAACAAAGAATACGTTGCGTTACAAGAAGTCGAAAAGAAAATCAAGTGAAGAAAAAAATTTAAAAAACTCGATTACCGATCGGCAACTAGGCAAAATTCGTTTGACCATCAACTTAGCTGAAAAACAACTGCTGTCATAAAAATTTTCTAAAAGCGATTCAGAGTTTTTGGAGAATGTTGCACTGGTGCGGAATGAGTGCGTAAATTTTAAAACTTTAAAAATTGGCCTTAACCAATACCCTTAGTGGTTTCTAAAAAAAATTGAATAATTAACCTGAGAACTGCAAACAAATTAACTTCAAAAAAACGATCCAATTCTCAAAAATTGGAAATTGATGGGGAAGTTTCTAAAAAACTATCGAAATCTCGAAAACTTAATTTTCTTAAGTCATAACAGTTTTTCTACAAAAAAAAGGCGTAGCTCCTGATACAACGAAGATTACCATATCCTGTTGTTTAGAATGAACCTATAATCGTGGAGCTATTTTTATAAGGGCAAAACCAATTTTTTCAAGTGATCTCTAAATTTCAGATTTGGCAAGGTCGTTTTCGAGAAATAAGAATTTCTAAAAAATTGCAAAAAACGGTGCAAGAAATTTGCAAAAATTTCAAAAAATAGACTTTTCTTTAAAAAGTAATATATCGCAGCTTCTCCACCGAAATTTTTGCGGCCCGTTCCTTGGATTGAATACTTAATCTCAAATTTGGCAGGGTAGTTTTTGAGAAAAGTCAAAAAGTTTCTAAAAAATGGTCAAAGTTTCGAAATCTTGGTTTTTCTTTGTGCAGTTACTTTTTCCAACAAAAGTATGAACAAATCAGACGATTTGGGAAAAAAAACCAAAACTTTTTAAATCGAATACTCTTGAGATGGCAGAGTAGCTTTCTATAGAAAACAAAAAATTTCAAAGAACGATCGAAAACTCAAAAAAAAGTTGGTTTCCCGAAAGCTTTAACA